TTACTCCTCCCAGCCCAGGATCGTTGCCTGGAGCTTGTTGACCGAATTCCGCATTCCCCACCGGTAATCCTTGTCGGACACCTCAACACTGTGGTGGAACTGCTGGGACACGGCAACCTTTTCCACCCCATGCTTGAGTCGCAGGTCGGGGGTGAATTCTTTCTCAAACAATTCACGGACCTTGCGCTCCTTGGCTCCAAGGGATGGCAAAAAGTTGGAATCAACGAAGGAGTGGTGCCGTTTATCGGGCCAATAGCCCGGGAAGAGGGGGAAGCACTTGCTTGCCCCCGGGCCGTGCAGATCGTCCTGGAACACAGGCTCATGCGCAGCGTCTTTGCCGAGATTGCGCCTCGCAGCGGTTTACGAACCCGTGAACTCAAAGAAACCCGTAAACTCTTTAAATGGATCGTGCACTCTGTGAACCCCTTTAACGCCTCAGCACTGGCAGGTGACGCCGAAGATACGTCTCATAGACGCTCTTCACCTTGCTGTGCAAGATCTTGGGCACATCCTTTTCCTGGCCGTGGCTCTGATTTGCTGGGATCGGAAAATTGAATGGAAGCCACATTTCCGACTCTACCGAAACCGTCCTGATCACTGGTCGGCCTGCAGTAGGTCGTCTTGTCCTGAGTGGGGTCGATCAGGATCTGATCTTGCCCACTCGCGTCGGCAGCACGGTAAATATCCCAATTCACCGTGAGCCGCCGCAATGACTTCGAGCGACCGCCGTACCAGAGGAGAAGGAGGCCTGACAGGGCCAGAATTGGTTTCCGAGATTTCCAACGCCAACAAAAGGTTCACGGATTAGACTCGGCTTGACACAACGGCCGCGCAAGAAAGGGCCTGCAAGAAAGGCGCGCCAAAGCTCGGCAAGCTGCAGCTCGCACTTCGTGACGTCTGCCTCTTTGGCCCCATCCGCTCGCAGCCTGTTCAAGGCGTAGAGCTTGTTCTGGCAACGGCCTTCGTGCCGAGCCAGGTGGTCCTGGCAGAACCCACAAAACAGGTTTGCGGAATTACCTCTCAAGTTCACAGACTACAAAGGGTTCACGGATTTCTGGAGTTCAGAGACACCTAGATTTTTAATTCCAAGGTTCATGGATTCGTCCCAGAAAAGGGTCCGCAAAAGAGTTTACGGATTCAATCCCGCTGTCCTTCACATCGGCGAACGTAATCTGGGGCCTACGGACCATCCGTCCACCCTCAGGGACGTCTGCGTCATCCTCCCACAAATCGTCCCTACGGCGGAACAGCGCGGATCTGCGCTGGAGCTCCGCCTTGGCGTTCGCGACCGCCTGCTTGAATTTGCGGCTCCATTCCGGCAAATAGTCTGGATTGATGAACGACTTGAGCGCGGAAATGGACCGCTGCAGGGTCACAATCCACCCCGTTGTGTACGGCCCCTCTCGATTCTTGGTAACACGGTCAGTCCACGTGTAGTAGTCAAGAAAGGCCGTCACATGCCGCAAGGCAAGGTAGTGAACGACCGAGCCCAGCATGCCGGGAGACGGATAACCTAACCAACGCGAGAGCCCAGGAAAAGGGTTTACGGATTCCAAAGGGCTCACGGATTTAGAAAGGTTCACGGATTCCCAACACGAAGGGTTAATCGTCAAAAGCCTTGACAAATCAACGCAGGCAAGGTGCCCCACTCCTCCCAAGCCCCCATGTTGACATCCGTGAACTGGACCAAAAGCATGAACCGATCCCACGCAATGTTCGCGCCGGCATCGGTCATGCGCGCCCGCCGCTGTCTCACGCCCTCCTCGTCCGGACAGCCTTCCATGAACCAGGCCTTGTCTGCGGACAGATGAACGCCAGATGCTTTCCACGCCTCCCTGGCCCGTTTCCGACCTGACTCGGGCGCCGCGGAGATTTGAGGGTCCATGTCCGGCGCGATGTCATCTTTGTGGATCAGCCTGGGCCTCACCACAGATGCCCGTGAAGTCTTGGCATCGTTCTTGGGGGGCTTGTCGCTCTCGGCCTCTTCCTTCTTTGCAGCCTTCTTCTTTGCTGCTTTTTGAGCATCCTTGGGCTGAGCGATGACAGGCGGCGCGTGCGGCTTGTCGTCGGTCTTGCCCTTCTTCGCAGCTTTCTTCTTGGCTGCCTTTTGTGCCGGAGCATCATCGGGCCGAGCGATGCCAGGCGGCGTGTGTGGCTCCGGATCACCCAATTCGAGAACCAAATTGAAGTGGTTCCGTCCCACATACGCCAGCCTGGCAACCCTCAAATCCCGATCATGTCCATTTTCAGGCACGAAGGTGGTGCTTCCCAGGTAGAGGCCGGTGACGGGAGAGAAGTTTTCGACGACAATCTTGAAGGCCTGGTGTTGATCCACAAAGGCCTTCAACTCCGGACTTCCGCCCCAAGAGCCGTCGCACCGCATGCCTGCGTGCAGCAAGTCACAGATGGAAAGGGTTCACGGTTGAACCGAGGAAGGTCTACGGATTCCAAAGATTAACGGGGACCGAAAAGGTTCACGGATTCCCCAGCCTTGGATGTA